GTATAAGAAATTGATTGGTCGAGGCCCAGGGGCTGAATTTCTTAGCGTCCCCGTCCATTTCGTCTTTAAAAGGGAAGGTTTTGATCCTTCTGGAGCCAGGGGGAGCTACATTTCTTAGCCAATGTCTTAGCCTTGTCTGCTAAGAAATTCAGGGGCTCATTTTCTCGGCCTTTTCGGGTGATGCAGGACTCCTTTGCTAACAAATCCAGGGGCTCAACTTCTTAGCGGCCTTTTTGAAGGACTCCTTTGCTAAGAAATTCAGCAGCTTAATTTCTCAGCGGCCTTGATGAAGAAGTTGAGCCTTCATCACCCGAAAAGGCGCTAAAAAAATTGAGCTCCTTCATCGCCCGAAAAGCCCGCTAAACAATTGAGCTGAATTTCCTAGCAAAGGAGCCCTCATCATCCGAACAGGGCGCTAGGAAATTGAGCCCCTGAATTTCTTAGCAAAGGGGTCCTTCATCACCCGAAAAGGCTGCTAGGAAATTGAGCCCCTGGATTTTGTTAGCGAGCACTTCCCCTGATGGTCGAAAGTGCCTTCTTCGTCGCACAGGCTTGCTGAGAAATTGGACGTCCAGAGGGGGCTCAATTTCTTAGCAGCAAATTCAGTTCCAACCTAATATATGTTTTACAATCTCAGCCGCTGAGCTTCTCAATTTCTTATACAATGTTTTCTGTATGTGTTTGTGTTTGTGTTTGTGTTTGTGTTTGTGTTTGTGTGTGTGTGTGTGTGTTTGTTTGTTGTTGAGCTGGTACCCTTTTAGGGCTTGTTTCTGGAGCACCGGTCCCCATGTGGGGGGGTTCCTTTTCGATCCCAAATGGGCTGGACCCCTTTTCCACAGCAAGACCTTGGCGCCAGGGGGGTTGCGGCCCCACATGTTTTTTCTTCTTCTTCTTTTTTCTCCGGGTCATAGCTTATCCTGGTTAGACTGCGCTTGCAAGAGCGCCTCGGCGCCTCACAGGGACGTGCAATGCTTGTCAACCAAAGGTCCGGAAGCTTCATCTTGGCCATTTGGCCCCAGGCCCAAGTCCCACCTTTGGACCTTTCGACTCCAAGCGAGGGCACAGGGAAAGCTTCTGCATGTTGATTTGGGGGATTGGGGGGGGGTTCTGCGGACCTGTGAAACAAAGTTTAAGGACTTTTAGAGATTCGGTGAACGGCTGGACGGCCAATGTTCTAACGGTGTGTTACATGGTCAACTCGGGAGGGCGGGGACTCGGGACCTCCTTGGGTGCCATTCGTCTCAGGGTCAGTGGTTCGTTTCTCTGGCGAGTTGCTTGGACTAGCAACAAATTGCTGCACATGCAGCGCAGAGCTCTGAGCCTTTGAGAAATGACAAAACCATGATGGAACTTTGGCTCACTTGTGCACAGGCGGACCGTTTGACCTTCAGCTTTGCATGCTTGGTCTATGTTCATGAGCCGTCGATTTGTGGGTCCCTTGGGCAGCTGAGTTGGACTTAGGGTCACAAGATCAACCAACTGAAAAGGGATCCAACTTAAGAAAGCCTCGATTCACTCAAAGCAAGAACAGAGTTGTGCCAACTCTCTTGTTGCCCACACCATCAAAAGGGAGGCCGCATACGCCCGTCATAGTCAAGCTCTGCAGATTGACCACCAATGTCCACTTTGGATTTCCGCCGAACTGGTCGCTCCGGCGTGTCCTTTGAATAGGTCTCTTCGGGACGTAGATGGAACTAAACTGATTTCAGGTTGGTTCCTCATTCAGTCCCAGTGCAATATGCTATTCATAGGAAAACACCTAGGCCCTCCAGATTAATCAAAGGAAAGCCGCCATTAATTGGTAATTTTTGATTTTTGGTGGACTCGCCTTGGGGTTGGCGTTGTTTGGACCCTGCTTTTGCTCCACTGGATGATGAAAAGTTCTCCAAACCAAAACAGGTTTGCGTGGCGGGGCTTGGGAGACTCGTCAATTAGGCATATGTTGCCTGCAGTTTGGGCAGCGGGGGATGGCTGAATTCCCAAACACGCCATGTGATGAAAAAGAAAAAGAAGGTGTCCAACCACAAGCGAATTGCGCTTGGCCTGCTATGCGCGCGGCCGGCGACGAGATCAAGAGGACCATGTGCTCCCTTGTCCAAAATCTTTGACAGTATGCACATCCAAACATTGACTTCGACACATACCGACACCTCGTTTCCAACAATCACGGAAGTGGACAAGTGGCCTTTTCAAGAGGATGGTAGTATTCACGATCGTTGGAAAGAGGGTACTTAAGGAGGCATGCTTCTTGGTACGGGCTCAATAAGCATATCCGAGCGCCTTAAGTACCTGTCAGTTTGAGCAAGGTTGCTCCCAGCCAGCCTTCAAAAGCAGATCAACCCCCGGTAGAAAATTGGGTTTCAGGGTTTCATTTGTTTTTCTTTATGAACTTATGAACTTCTAGCGGATCTTCGGAGCAGCCGTTTCCTTTAGGAATGCTGAGCCGGGTCTCAGCAGTCAGTCTTTAGAGCAGACGTGAGGGTTCGCACGCAGCTTGAGAGCAGCATCCCAGAACCTCTCATGGCACATGCGCCATGGTTGGGTGTTTCTGGTGGCGACCGCTCAGTCAGGCATCGCGCATCGCTGAGTTGGGGCGACGCGTTGACGTTGCCGGCTTTTGTTCTCGCCAGCCGCAGCAAGCTGTGGGTCGATAAGCCCAAATAGGCTCATGCAGCGGCTTCAGGGAGGGTCAAAAGGAGGGTTCTAGGGGAATCCGTGGCTGGGGATATCACCTGGGCGCTGCACGTGGCCTCCCAAGGTTTAAGAAGGCAGAGGTCAAAGACGATTCCCAGGGAAGTGGATGGACCAAATCCATTTCGCACCACCTAAGAATCCTGGAATCCTGATTCCCCTGTAAGTACCAACAAACGATGGTTTCAACCATGGTTTCAATCTGGTGCAGGAGTTCGTCCATCCACAGTAGTTTCAGAGACATTGTCCAGCGACCTGGTGCAACGAGCTCACCCAAAACGGTCCCTTCCCCCTAGGGTTCAATCGTCATTGAAAGAATGGATGACCCAATTTAAATGATGACAAATCCTGACCGGTAAACCATGGTGGTTCTATCAACCCCCATGGTTTTAATGCCGGTTTGAAGCTCAGAGTTTCTAGTTGATCCAAGCTGACTTTCTAGGTCCGTCCCGCGCGAGTCTTGAAGAGTTTGTGTTTTTTGCTTCAGCAAGCAAGCTGCGAAGTGAGGCAGGCCAGGGCCAAAGGATTGTCCCATTTTTGTTTCCCTTTGGCCTGTGAGACGGACTGTTGAGAAAAGCAGATCCCTCACTGGCACGGCGGTTCCGTAAGCTGGACCGCTTCCGTTTTGCCCAGCTTTTTTTCGGGGGAGCTAAATCAGCCAGGGGATTCTCAATGAACATGTTTTGGTATATTTGCATATGCATATATCTATATTTATATGTACTATATTGGGCTTTCTCCTCAGATCCAAGCTCGGGACTCTCACTTTTGGGACTAGAGGAGTTGACCTGGGACATCCCTCAGGTCACCTGCTCTCGTGGCATGTCAACTCCACGCGTTTTATCGACGTGGCGGTGGCGAGGGCCGAGGACACCCGACGAGGCAGACTGTTTGGCCCTGATTTGGGGTGCCGAACCTTCCTCTTGCGCTTTGGGTCTATGTTTTGGGGATTTTCGGGGGATTTTGGGGGACTTTTGGGGACTTTTGGGGGAACCTTTACAAGCCGAAGGACCTGCCATTTTGGGTGTTGGGCTCTTGTTTTGAAACCTTGGCGCTTGTCCAATTCGTTGAATCTTGCTGCCTTTGTCCACTCGGGGATGTCATTGAGGGGTTCCTCATTTCACAGACTATTGGGGGATTCCTCTTTGCCCCCGTGGGTCAACTCGAGGCCCTCTGTCTTTCTTGTGTTTGCGATTCTCTGTGCTCCAGGTCGCAAGAAACAACCTCCGCTAGGGCAAAGGCAACACTACTGGTTGATGGTTTCAACCGGCCCGATGTCGGGCCAAAGAATTGACATCCTTCAGACGGGGTGATGCTTTCTCGGGGAATGCAGGGAAGCCTGATAAGATTTGGGAGGGAATTATCTTATCCAATTCAAATCAACCATTCGGCAGTATCAAAAATGCGGGTACCCCTTTTTTCCCAAGCATGGGCTCATTGGAGGCAGGGTGTGGGTGGATGGAGCCCAAATGAAACAGGCAAGGAGGTGGATTCCCCAAGTATTGCAAGCAAGAACGTAGTTGAAAACCCTGTTATCGACCACGGTGTGGTTAGCTTGCCCCAAATCACACGAATCCAGGGCATCATAGGCCTTACTGCACCGGGTTGTATTTAGCATCTTCTGGCCATGTCAATGGCATGTGCTCTTCCAAGAAACCACCCTGGGTTGTTCGTTCCTGCAGTTCGACCGAAATCAAACAATGAGAGCGTCCATGCCGAGTAAGCAAAACTGGTGGTCCGGGGCTGAACATGCCAAATTAAGGCCCAATACCAAACGCCACCCACCCACTAAAAGGGTAGTGTCTTTGGCGACGCTTGTGCGCGAGTGCTTGATTGTTGTTTGGTTTGTTTGTTTGTTTGTTGGTTCGTCGTTGGTTGGTTTGCTTGTTTTTTTTTTTGTGTGTGTTTGTGGTGTTTGTGTTTGCGTGCTTGCCCATGTCTGTGTGTGTGTTGTGTGAATAGTGGTGTGTTTTTGTTTGTTGTGTTGTTTTGTTTGCTTGTGTGTTTCTGTGTCTTGTGTGTTTGTTTGTTTGTTGGTTTGTTTGTTGGTTTGTTTGCTTGCTTGCTTGCTTGCTTGCTTGCTTGCTTGCTTGCTTGCTTGCTTGCTTGCTTGCTTGCTTATTGTTTGTGTGTTTGTTTGCTCGTTTGTTCGTTTGTTTGTTTGCTTGCTTTGCTTTCTTGCTTGCTTCTTTGTTTTGTTGTTCTTTGTTCTTTGTTTCTGGGTTTCTTTGTTTGTGAGTGTGTTTATTTGTGAGTTTGGTTGCTTGATCGTTTGGTTGCTTGCTTGTTTGTTTTGTTGTTTTGCTTTGTTTGTATGTTTGATTAATTTGATTTGATTTGATTTGCTTTGATTTGTTTGTTTTGGATTGATTTTATTAATTGATCGATCGATTGACTGACTGACTGACTGACTGATTGATTGATTGATTGATTGATTGATCGATTGATTGATTGATTGATTGATCGATCAGGTTGAACCCCCCCCCGGCCGGTGCTTTTCATTTTGGTTGCCTGTGAACCAAATCAGGATCCTTGGTGATGATTGGAGTTGTCCCCTGGTTTGGTTCACGGACATGGGTTTGTCCAGAAGGAACCCCGTTGTTTTTTTCTCCCTTCTGGGCCACCAATGGAAGTTAAGCGCCAGTCCCCGATTTCGAGAGAGAGCAACCTGGAATCTGTTCCTAGGTCCCCCAGTGGTGCCCCTTTACCCTTTTGGGGGACTAAAATAGACTACAGTAGAAAGGGTACCTTATTCTAACCTCTCTACTGGAGAACCTAGGTTCCGACTTACCTTGATTTTCTCGACCTAATCGACGAGTTCCATGACCTTGTCCGTCCGCAGGTAAAGGCCGCCTCCACTTCCGCCAGCGCCGAGCTTGGAATTTTGGCGGGAGGGCGTGTGTATGTGCCGGTGGTATCGCCATGCACAGCCAGAAAATTGGCAAAGATGCTAAAGATGCCGCGGGTGGCCAGAATTAGATCATACTGGGAAAGATGAGCAATTCATGGGCAAATTGGCCAAGGGGCAAGCGACATAACTTCGGCAGACTTCTCTGCACAAGCCGAGTGCTGGAGTGATAAAATCGGTCTTTTGCGGAGGGTTTTTGGAAGATTTCTTTTGAGGAGTCGCCAGAATCGGGTACTCGAGGACGCAGACCAGTAACGCGGAGGTAATCCAGCGAGCAAACGCGTGCTCACTTGATCGGTAACGTGCTTCTTTGGGCTAACGAACTGTTCCTGGGTCTCCCGCGGTCTCCCGGGCAATGAATGGTCGAACGTGATCCCAACTGACAAATCGGGGTGCGTAGTCACCATAAGCCACACGAATTGTCCTTCTCCCCATGAAGCACGGGTGAGCAACAGAAGGTCAACTTCGTCACAGGTGGCTAACAACAGAAGATCACCTGGAAAGACACAACAAACTTGCAGTCACATGCATGAACAGGTTCCACACAAACTCTTGCATCCCGGGTCAACATTGGATGGTTGGTAGAAGCAATCGCTGAGAGATGTTGTTTAAATCAGAGGTTCTGCTTTCGGGGAACTTGTTGACCAACTCGCAGGGTCCACACTCGGGCAGAAATTCAGTGTCACCCCCCTCCGAATGGGAGCTACCCAGATTCTACTGATCCAGGCTGGCTACGCTACAGTCACGGAAGCTGGCAAAAGGTGTGGGACTACTACTTTCCTCTGGGGATGCACCCGGTCTACTTGTTTCCTTGTTGCAAAGAGGGAACAGAGCCGATTGCGTTGCTTCGCGGGGGGCTTGCGTTCGCGTTGCTTAATTTGATTTTAGATTTAGAGCCCCCCGCATTCCATTGTTGCATTTTGCTTGGATGTTAGGACTTTAACTTTTTGCCAAGTAATGGGTTTTTTTCATTAAACCGCTAAAAGTTAGTCACTTTTAGCAAGGGAGCTGAAAGCAACCGAGATTCCAAGTCGGGCGTTCTGAAAATCCCCCGCTCGAGCTTTCGTCGCTCAGGCAGGTGCGGACGAGACGGGCCGCCAGCAGCGTGCTGGCCTTCCGGAGGCGATCGAAAAGGGGTCGAACGCCTGGCGTGGTGGGTCGTGTTGTTGTTTAAAACCGGGTGGCCGGTTTTTGGTTTATATTTATGGGGTAAAAAAATATATGAGTTTGACCGGTTTTCTGGGGGCTATCAAAGTCAGAAGCTGGAATTGGTTTCCCTTTAACCTACCATGTCGGGGGTGACTTTGATGGTGAAATTATGGGGCCCCCTTTCATCTGGTACCTCTCAATTGGCAGTTTGGTTTGGTGCTGAGGTTAGGAAGTGGCTTCCAATGTAGATCCCCAAGCCAATCCAAACTACCAAGGAAGCTGATTTCACCTTGGGGGGACACCAAAAGGTCAGCTTTCGTATGGTTAAGCCCGGCCGCGAAGCCTGAAGGGAAGTTGCTTTTGAGAGGACTGACCCAAGTAAAAATGGAATGGGGGAGGGCGTGACTCCTGCATGGAGATCTCCATTGTTCATAAGCACAAAGCATCCAGTGGAAACTGTTTGTTTGGTCGAGTTGGAAGGGTTCCCCGTTGAGCAATGGGGAACATCTTTTTATGATATGAAGTCGGAACTTATCCGGACCAACCAGAGGAAAACCAACCAGAGGAACCCCCATGCACTATTTCCTGGCCAGGGGAAATCATCCCATCGCTTGAGAAATCTTGGGACCTGGCTCGTAAGTAAGGGCTACGTACCAAACCATTCGCCTAAGTTAGGAACCGCCGTGCTCTACTTCGAAAGCATCGCGGTCCTTCAGGATGTCTTGCACTAGCTTGCAGAACGAACTTGCATGCATAATGATTATAATGTTCACCCCAGATCAAAAGAACCGTCCTAGTAGGGTGGGGGGGGGCCCAAAAGTGATCCCAATTGCCACCAAAGGGGACACCCCCACCTCTCAAAATCAGCCAGGCCTTCTACTTACATCCGGGGTTTCTATTAGACGATTGTAGCATGGCGAAGTTTGCGCAGCTTCAGCTTGCAAGAAACTTGGAGAGGGTAATTTGACTTGCTAAGGAATGCCCTTTCCGAGTTTTGGGATGAAGCGGAAGGGATTCCCGTCAAGGAAACCATGATTTGGATGGTTTTTCTTGGGGTCATTATGGTCATTGCATTTCTCATTCCCTGCCCAGAACCAACCAGCAGGTTGAGTAGTCTCCCAAGGTGAACTCAGTCAAATCGGGGCAATCGACCAAGCTTGTCCGATTGGAGACCCTCGGGGGAATCGGAGCCTCGCTGTTTCGGACGCAGATCGGAGCCTCGGTGTTTCGGAGCCCTTGAAAAGCAACCTCTTCGGGCTTAACCAAACGACAGCTGTTCTTTTGATTTCCCGAGGATGAAATCAGCCTCCTAGCAGTTTGGATTGGCTTGGGGGTTTGGATTGGTTTGGGGGTTTGAACCACTAGTTCGTAGCTGTTGGTTTCCCCAAGCCCGTCCCTTTCTTGAGAAGCCGTTTGTGTCAGGCTGGTGCGCTCACAAGCCGCAAGTCTTCCACACCTCGAAGTGCAAGTGCCGGACCGAGGCCGCGACCATGGGCCATGTGAAGCAAACAAATCCAGTTCAGGGGGGGTCTTTTTGCCACCTGTGAGAGATTTTTGGCGACCCCCTCAAAAAGGAATCCTTTACGAGAAGGTCGATCATCTTTCCACGAAAGCTGGCTAAAAGACCCCCTTGATCCAGTTTGGCTAGATGATCAATTGGTGCAGCCGCCTGTTCATTCTGTACATGACAGTTTTGATTATAGCTCAAGACATGCCCAAAGCGAATCACCCTGAAATGACCTTTTGGTTCCCCTGATTTGGCAACACTGTTTTTGTGGCCCCAGAAGGTTAACCTTTTATTCCGTCCTTTGGGCAACTCAGAAAATCTGACTTTGAGAAAAGAAGGCGGATTCCAAAGATGCTTCCAGGTTTGGGTTCTTTCTCCTCGTGCTTGGATGATGTGTTGGAAAACCCAAAGCAAGCCTGCCATTTAACTGTTTTCTCCCTTCCCATCCCGCACGAGAGCAACCCATGCACACCAGCTGCTCGTGCGGAGCAGGCTGCGTGCCCCGCTGGCACCGCTTCCGAGCCAAGCCGGCGCTACCCACCGCGGCGTATCTGCTGCACGTGGCGAAGAGCGGCGGCACGGCGCTGCGGGAGCTGCTGCTGCAAGGTCCCGGGCAAGATGCAGGCCGGGGGTCGGTTTTAGGGCAGCTATCGGTTTTTCTGGGCTGTTCAAAGGTAATCCTTAATCCTTACCTGGGCTTACGCAAGGAACCGGTCCCCTTTGTAGTGGCTTTCCTATAGGGATTATGGAAAATCGGATTGGCCAACCCAAACCATTTTGAGCAGCCCAGTTTATTGTAGTGCAAAGGAACTGGAACTCATCTTCTGGTTTGGGAATATGGGGATTTCATGCGCTGGCGCACTTCCCGTTTTGCCATCTGGTCATTCTAATTACTTTTTGGGATTGGAGCATGTGAGTGGTAAACAACGACGTTTTTGCACTGGAAAATGCCCCCATGTCTGGCTTTCTGTTGGTTTCTATTTGAGTATGACTTTGACCCATGGCCATTTGAGCTGATTTTCGACTTTCGTTGAGGACGCTGAGGTAAACCGCTGAATTCCCAGCGCCGACCTCGGTTCGCGAGGCGTCCATGCAGTGCGGTTCCAGGCCAAAGTGCCCAGCGAATCCTTCCGGGCAGCTCGGAAGAGGAGGGGGCAACTTGCGATGGGCAGGGCATGAGAAATGAAATGACCCTCACTTCCATTTGCTTCGGAGTATTTTTATTTTCCCTTATTTCCCTTGTTGGTTTTAGAGGGAATCTATCACTACTGGACATATTTTTTCCCGGGGACTTAGCAAATGGAAGCTTATAAACCCATCCAGCTGGTGGTTTCCTTTGGGAAAATTCCCAGGTTCATTCCATTTCTCATTCCTTGCCTATCGCACCAGCAAGAAAACACGTGTCAGGCCCCAGGTTGAATACTCCCCTAAGTCCAATTGGAGGGCTGGGCCCGCATTGGGGGATGAGCCTTAGGGAACCGTAAGCGTGGAACTCCACAAAAGGGGGGTTCCTCTACACTTAGTCGTTTGTTTGGGTTCCGTGTTAACTTGCAGGCAAGTATTTTTTGCTGGTTAGGCGGTTTGGAGACGAAAAGCTAACCTCTAATCTCAAACCACCAATCCAAATCACCAGTTAGTGGCAAGGTAATGTAGGGTAGGGGAAATAGCCCAGTTTTGTACCATTGTGAAAGGTTTCTTCCGGGTTGCTTTTCAGAAAACCAAAAGTGAGTCTCTGTTTGTGTGTGTGTGTGTGCACACATGCCTACGTGTGTGTGTGTGTGTAAGTGTGTGTGTGTGTGTGTGTAAGTGTGTGTGTGTGTAAGTGTGTGTGTGTGTAAGTGTGTGTAAGTGTGTGTGTGTAAGTGTGTGTGTGTGTGTGTAAGTGTAAGTGTAAGTGTAAGTGTAAGTGTAAGTGTAAGTGTAAGTGTGTGTGTGTGCGTGCGTGTTTCTCTTGCTATTCAAAACTAAACTGTTGAACTTTTGTCGGAACAACCCAGGACAAGATTGTATAGCGGGCGCGCCCAACGATTGTAGTTTGGGTGTTCTAGGCTATACGACACGACTTGAATGGCCCCGATTGAAACGGTGTGTTGGAATCATCCAAAGTGTTCAGAGTCCTTTGCACGATGTGTTTGGTATTGTTTCCTGACGTGCTCTTTCAGGCAGTTATGATTAATTTGGACATGGTTTGCCACACAGCCGGCGTCGTTTCCTGTTCGAAGGATGTTTGCGGGAAAGTGGTGAGTTCTAGTTTCCGAGGAGCAACTTCAAAGGCTGATTGTATAGGTCCAAAAAACTAGGGGTTCATACCCGGGTTTATATATATATATGGGCGTATATTCAGCCTTAGACAATTGCTTGCTGGGGGGTGCCTTGCTGAGTCAGGTTGGCGCAGGATGGGGGCTGTCGGACCTTTTGTGGGGCCAATGCGAACAAAACTTGGGCTGGTTGCAGAATGCACATGTAAATGATGTCCACCACAAGGGCCCCTATTCAAATATTTACCGACATAAACAAAGGGCATTGGCTTTCTTCAACTTCATGAAAACTGGTTAAAAGTGCTTGAGGTTGCTACAAGGGGTTGGGCGCTTGTCTCCAACACAATGTTCAAAGTTTAACGACCCGTTGCTCCTCAATTTTGTCTTAACTTAGTCCCTTTGGATGTGTAGAAAAACCCTGGGCAGAGAATCTCAACACGCCACAAGTAAACCTCAGCTTCGTGAAAGTGGAGGGATAGTCCCGCGTCACCCAAACGCATCCCTTGGAAGGTCACATTGCAAATTGGCAAGAAGACCTGGAGGCTTTACAAGTCGGACCTCGACCAGGCAGATCAGAATGTTGGAGCCCGAGTCATGGAGGTCGGGTACGACGAGCTGGTTGCCCTCTGTGAGGAGCACGGCAAAAGGGACATGCTAAGCCTCCTCTCCAGGTGGCTAGAGATCTCAACAGGAATCTCTACCGCCGCTTGAGAAATCACATTTCTCACGCCGTCTCACGAGACGGTGGAAGTGTCGAGTACTGCTCAGAAGTACGCCTTCAAAGTAGGCGCTACATATCTGAAGCAGGCTCATGGCTTGCGCTCCCGTCACGAGAGCTTGGTCTACGACCTCGCTACCAGCAAGACGACGCCCAACTTCCTCCCACTAAGGACACCGAAACAGAAGGTAGAAAAGTGGAGGTCGAGGTGGAATAGCACCCATCGGGAAATCATGAAGAAGGTTGAGATCCTTTTTTCGGAAAGCTAAGCATGGTTTGCGACCCCCCTTTTTGCACAGAAGGCTGCATTCTCTCTGTTTGCAAACTCGAAACGCTCCTTGCTGTGAAAAATGTATTCTTGGAGACTGCTATGACTCTTTTGGATGCCTTCCATGCAAGGATGCTACAAGCCTATGTCATCCTCGGAAAATGTTCATAGACCGCACTTATCAAAAGCGGTTCACTTCTAGCAAGGATATGAGAAACAATTCTCGGACAAGGAAGTTGACAAGAGGTTGACAGCTTCCTTTTGGGTACCAAACCTGTCAGACTTCGGCCTTTCAACATCCTTCGAGTTGAGTCGAAGAGCAGCCGTTGGATCCCACTGCGGAAGGCCGGGTGCGAATTCTCTGGAAGGCTGAGCGTTCCAGTGAGGCATCTTCCAGGTTTGACAGACTCAATTGTCAGCGAATCGACCTGACATGACCTAGGTGTTTTTTCCCCTATGTCATGTTGGGTTCTCATTGGTGGCCCCAAATGGTGAAGCTGTTTGTTTCGGGGTCCGGGCAACCGAGTCAGCACCCGGGCCCAAAGACCTGAGCCTGCAAAGCGTGCCGAGGCCGCGGAGAACGCGCCGCGCTCGGGGGAAAGGGAGCCGAAATACCTGAAGCGAATCGACCCGATGGACCAAACGGGGTTTCCAGTTTTGGCCCAAGGCCCAAGAGTAGGTGTCCTTTGGATCGGTTAGTTTGGTTAGAAATAGACCGGTTCCACTGGTTTAGATGTGTTTGATTCCATTTACCACCACTTTGCGGAAAGGGCGCCTGGCCCAAGGTGAACCTTTCATTTTGAGGTCCTGGCAGAGTCGAAAACTTCGCAAAATGACAGTTGGTCAGGAAAATGTAGGGAGCCCCAAGATTGGTTCGCAGGGACCCAAAGATCCGGAGCAGCCTCAAGTGGTGGAACACCACGAACATCCTCAAAATGTGCGTGGGTCCTCATGTACCCTCATGTAAATGATGTCCACAGAGTCCGAGCAAAGCTACACCTTCAGGGAGCATGACATTCCCACCAGCCATCTTGGTGGCGAATAAAGAGCTTAGACTTGCTTTGCCAATCCACGCAGGAAGTGACTCAGAAGGCCAAGTTCATGTCCGTTCAAGAGCCACACCAGTCAACGTTTGGTTCTTCTGGCGCGCGGCAAAGCTTTCACCCCACCCACACCGTCAGATTCCTTGAAGCGGCCCGCCCACTTGCTTGAATCCTACCATCCTCAAAATGTGTCCTGGAACCCATCTTTTACCATTCATGGGGCCTGGGCTCGAGGGGAGGGAGCCCAAATTAGCTCTTAAACCCTTAAGGCTTGACTCTGGCAAACTGTGACATCATCCCTTTGCTGCCCAGGGAGCAGCAACAAGATAGGCACTGGCAAGCCAAACGAGGCCTGACGATACAAAGCTAGGTCCCCCAGTAGTGCCCTTTCTCACCCCTTTTTGGGGGAGGGTTCCCCTGCTGAAAATAGGCTACAGGAGGGGGTTGGTAGCCTTGTCCTAGCCTCTCTGCTGGAGGGCCTGGTGCGGGTGGGGCCGTCTGCGGAGATGTTGCGCTCTCCGCTGGCCCAAGGGCCACCAACCGCGGCATCCATCACACCCGAGGCCACCGAGTTTGCGGCCGGCCGGCTGCGCTGGGCCTATGAGAAGCGGCTGCTCGCAGCGAGAGCTCGTGAGGGGAGGTTCCTGGGTTTTGCGTAAAGGGGCGATCGATTCGATACGTGAGGTAGGTGGGGAAGAACCAGGGCTTGCTATGTTTCCCTTTTTGGTGATGTTTTAAACATCACCTTTTTGGCCCATGAAAGGTGAGTATCCCTTGGTGGGCGTGATGTTTTAAGGGGAAATATGGGGAGCCCTGAACCCACAAAAAACATGGTTATAAGTCTCTTGATTGGGTTATAGCCAGGCCTTCTAATCATAAGTACATGGCCCCTGTCAATTGTCCAATTTGCCCAGAGAAATTTGCCGATTTTATAGCGAGCTCACCGATCCGGGCGGGGGTATAGCGCGAAAGCAATGATAAAGGTCGATCCCTGAAATCATCTTTTGGATTGATAGTAAAATTTGCAGAGAAATCCAGAATGAATGTTGTTTACTTGTGGATTCTCGATTTCACGCCGGTGAATTATAGTCTTTTGGACTGATTCAACAATGCAAGTCACAAACATTGTTTTCACGTGACCCTTTCTTAGACCTTCTCCCAATATCAACTAGGGATGGACTCTTGGATTAAAGGAGTCCCACTCAAAAGGGACCATCCTGATGAGAAACGGGGTTTATCAGGGGGTCAATTGTGCGCCTTAGCGGGGTACCTGTTTCATGTTCCCCTGCCCCCAATGCTTGATTTGATTTTTTCTCCTGCAAACTTGCTTTTGCACTAAGAACCATCCACGAGTCAAAAGGCAACCGACCCCGTTGGTCTTCAAATACCGGGGGCGTCACTCGGTTTGAAAGGACCCTCCATGGGACCTGACGGCAAAGAGGGTGCGATATTTCAAACGACCGGAAGTTGGGACTCAACTTCGCACGCCCTGTGCCCTACTTCAACGGATTTACGCAAACCCGGGCAATTTTGAGGCGTTCAGTTTGCGACAGGCCCTTCTTTTTTTTGGCGTCTCATACGAGGAACGCCCTGGAAAGCGGCATGGGCATGGTGCCCGGCGGCGAAAATGCCTGGGAGCTCCAGGCGGGGACGTCGGCTCGGCAAATGGGCGGCTCGTCTTTTTGGTGTTTGTGAGGGTGTCGGCTTTTGGGTTGGTTCAAAGGGGAAACCAAACGGAAAGCAGCCATTTTGGGGGACCTTAAAAATTGGCAGGACCCAATTCTGACCCCCATGGCTTCGGTTTTACCAACCAAAAGGGATACCCTCAACAGAAAGACACCCCCCCAGCTATGAAACATAACTAACACATGCTGGTTTCTACCCCACTGGGCCAAGTGACAAGGGGGCCTTAGAGGTGCTCGCCTGCTAATTGCGCGCCTCTCAATGTCAATGGCCATGTGACACTAGCTGAAGGGCACCCTTTACAAAGAAGGCTTGTCACTGACTGAAAGCACGGTTTCAAGTCAAGCCCTTGCCCAATTTACGGCAGGTGGAACGTCCCAGAAGCTGCCGCGGGAAGCCTTCTGATGCCCATTTGCTCTGGGAAGCAAACCACCTCTGGAGAATTGGTTGTGGGCCCTTTCCTTTTCGTAGGAATCAATTGTCCACTCTGACAGAGTCTTCGGAGCAATCCGTTTTTGGGGGAAGAAACCAGAAAAGGAATGGTGGATTCGCAGGCTCCGCACGAAATGGGCCCTTTTGGGGAAAAGGGTCGGAACGTGGTTTGCGAGATGCCCACGTCTCAAAGTTTAGGATTCCAGGTTGACTTCCTTGGCTTCGCAGCGTCCACTTTTGGGGGGAGGGTTCTCCTGATTCAGACCTATGTTTTGGTGAACTCCGACTCAACGATTCGACCGATAAGAGACCCTCAATCCAAGGGCTTAACTTACAAGAAAATCTACAGGAGATGGCCCCAAAACACCCTAGTTTAGCTGTTTTACCTGTACTTTGGTGCATTTTGCTTGGATGTTAGGACTTTAACTTTTTGCCTGCTAATAGGTTTTCCATTATACAAACCACTAAAAGTTAAACTTTTAGCAGGGGAGCAGAAAGCAACCGAGTGCATTTTCGTTTCCCAACCCTTTGACTCAGGGGAACTCGTCGCAAACCACCTTCTGCGGACCCATGCCAAACCGCAGGTGCCGCGGCTTCTGCGGCTCTTGCACGAGCGTCAACGCGACCAGGCGGGGTAAGACTGTTGCCCTCGCTTTAGTGAGACCCCCTTTTGGCCCGGGTGGTAAAGCGAGACGAAGAGGAGCCAGCCATTTTTGGAGGTGTTCTATTCTTTTAAGACTTTTGGAGGTCCCCTATTTTTTGAGACAAACTCTGTGTTTTCCGTTGTTTGTTGTAAGATGTTGGAAGCATATCGGTTTTGGCCCCCTTTGTGGCGTCAAATTTGCAAGGGGAATATGTGGTAGAACATCCGTTTGGCAAATGACACAGCGTTCCCTACAAGCCAGCAAGTGAAGCTTTTTGGAAAATTGAGTTCGACCAACACTAACGGGGCCCTTTTTTGTGGAACGACTTACCCGTCCCACTGGGAATCGCAAACAAGCGGGTTCAAGGCTCGTCACGGAAAAAAACAGATGTTTCCCGGAAACGCATGTATGTTTAATATTATCAAAGATGCGGGAAGATGAAAGGCGCAGCCGGGTTAGAAGCTTAGAAAGGATTCTTAGGTCTCTCTTGTGTGTGCCAACCCACCATATCAGAGATAAAGAGAGGAGAACGCCATTGGGTGACCCGTTTCTGGCTGGCCCTCGAGATGGTTGCACACGCACCGGGCACAGCCACTTCGTGATTCGCCGCCGCGTGCTGAGTCACCAAGAGCAGGGTTGCGGAAGGAATTCGGGGATTTTGCCACACTCCCGTTGGTCATTGCCAGGACCCAGTGGTGGTATCACAGAAGTGGAAAGGTGATTGTCACACAACCTTATTTGGGGGTCTATACGTGCCTTTGTTTATGTTTTTGTTGAAGCCGCTGTAAAACCTACCCCTGACCAAGAGAGATACCCTTTGACTCTCCCGGTGAATTCGTGATGCCAGGAAAGTGTGCCGTGCCTTTGTGCCGCGGCTGCAGAACGGGTGGAATTGTGGGTGCTAAATACCAGCCATAAAACATGAGCCACAGTCACTATTCATTGCGTCCCAATTGACATGGGATCTTGGTGAGGGTAGTTGTGTGCGTGTGTGTCCTACTTGGGATGGATGAATGGATGAATCCCTGTGAAAACTGGGGTGAACCACCTAGCAACTGGTACAGGATTCTGTCCATCCACAGTATGAGCCCTTTTGGTTGCCGTGTAAAACACGCCGAAAAGGGAATATCTCAAACTATACAAATCTGCCCAAGCTGTATCCCCCACAGCCCCGGAGCTTGCCAGCACTCTTGAGCGAGGCAAAGAAAAGGGACAAAATGCGCAGGCCGACACCTTGTCCATGAAGATTGATCTGCTATTCCACAAGGGTCCTGGTGGGTGTGTCTTCTCAGGGGACAAGGAAACGAATGGGCTCCTTTTGGCTTTCCTATGAAGCTACCAAGAAAGGGGTACAAAAAAGACAGACCCATGCTGTGGATGGTTGCGAAATCCAGAAATCGCACCACTTGGAAACCATGGTTGAAACCATTGTTTATTGGTATTCACAGGGGAATCATCACAGTATGTACCCCTTCAACAGCACCTAGAATTCGATCGCTTTGCTTACGGATGCCGTAGGATTAGGTGCGACTTTCTCGACTACCATCCTGCCTATCATACCAAGTGGGACCTTTCTCCCTGAGCAACAAATCTATTTTGTCTTTTGGCAGGGGCTGAGGATGCACCGGAAGCACACCCCACGATGTGTTGCCTTTCCCATCCCCTTTTGGCCTCCTGTTGTTTCCTTTCATTTTTCCGCAACAGCAATGGCTGTCCATCCGCCCATCCCGGCGCGATTGTTGGGGCAGTTTCCTGGGTTCGGTCAACGAGACCGGCTAACGGATAGCACAGTACGAGCATCGAAGATGTGCACAGTACGAACATCGACAACGGCAAGCACAGTTTTGGCAAATGTCCCGCGCTTCTCAGACAGACATGCCGACGGGAGAGCGCATGAGGCACGCTGCACTTTGACTTCTCTCTGGTTCATCCCTTGGTGCAGACCATGCCGAGCAGAGTGCTAGGCCGATTGCTGCATTGCATTGCCTTTTGAGGGAAACATATGTCGGTGATGGGTGATTGATTTGTGTATCTTATTTGTCCTGTTCTTTCCAGTTTGTTCTTGTGTTGTTTCGATTGTTCTGTGTGTTTGCCTTCATTTGGCTGGCAGGCTGGCCCTGGAAAGCATCACTGTACCCGACAATGAGAATTGCAATGGGGCAACTTGATGGTTTCAGGGAGGCAGATCGGGACTGTTTGAGCAAAAGAATCAAACAGCTGTTTCAAAGAGTGCCCTTTGACTACTTGAGTTACAATCAAGTTTCTGGAAATAGCCTAACCTGGCAGGTCAGCAAAGAAATGCGGCCACTCAGTAGCATGATGCCTTTTGGGCCAGGTGTTGTTGAGATGGGTTCCAAAATGGTCCAAGGGCCAACTGGTCGGAACTTGGAGCCTGTTCGAAGGGTTTGGCACCGAGAGCGATGACTTGTTGCACCTCAGGTCAACTGCAGGAGCCCGCAACGGGGGTTCCGCAAAAGTAGATTCCGCCACAAAGTGGATCCGTTCTGGGAGGTTGATCTGAAGAGCAAGACCAGAACTCTTAAAGCGCTGCCAGGGCCCCCAAAGGACACCTGCAACAAGTAGGGGCGTGCGAACGGACGGAGGGACGTTTCAACTCACACGTGTCGAGAGGATCGCCGTGCCTCCTCCGATAGGCGGCATAGGATCAGCAGCATAGGTGCCCTTTTTGGTTGTTTTGGTAGAAAAATAGAGGCAGATTCCTGGTTTTCGGCCCTGGTTTATTTACCTGGTGATTTAATCATCTACCAGGGAAACCCATCTATTTCCCCTAAAAGGACACCTATGATCAGCAGAACATCCATTCAAGTACATGTTTTGTCACGCATCCTCGGCTCGATGCCTGAAAGCATGGACGGCATTGATTCCAGCAAGACCTGAGTTGCGATGCCTTCTTTTCAACAGCTTGCTTTGCAAACCCCTCGAGTTGGTGGCTTGGATAGGCTGTCTAGAGGCTTGGAGTCTTGGAGTGTAGTTTCCGTTTCCCCATCTCCACCATCATTCCTGTCCAAGGAGTTTTGATCTAAATTCGGTCCTCACTTCCTGAATTCGGGGACTTTCAACTTTTTGGGACCATTTGAGTGGTACACAGAAAGGTTGGACTTCTTTTTCACTTCCGCTCAGGAAGTGAGGGTTTTTCAAGTTGCCATTCTCTTGGGGGAATCGGTACACTCGGGACATGGGAAAGTCCACGAAAAAAGCAAGGCGTGGCCATGTTCCGGGACCCCGTGGGCCGTTTCTTGCCTGGGAGCCCAGTTGCTCCCACCCACTGCCAGCTGAGTTACGAGTCACTCCCCGAGTTCATGGACTTTCAGTTTTTTGGGCTTGGACCGATGTTAGTGGCAAACAGTGTGGTTCCTTTTTGAGTACAATCGGGAAGTGAGTTTGGAGGATCCGGTTCCGTGCGAAGCGGTCACAAAAAGACTGTAAGACATGACCTCGTTCGGTGACACGTGTTTTCCCTTTTGTACGCCACAAGCGGCTTCCGCTTTCTGCCAGTGTGGGGCGTGCCCGAAATGAAGGGACCTTTCCAACCGCACATGTCTCCCACTGAACTTCGGGGTAGGGAAATTGGCCGCGCGGGTTCCAGCGCGAGGTGGGCGACACGTTGGCCGAGGATGCGTCTTCCAGCCCAAGCTTGGGTTACCAAAAAAGGTAACCCCCTGAAAGAAAAAAAAGATAAGCAGAAAAAGAAAAGGAAAAACAGGACCCAAAAAACAAAAGACCAATGGATCAAACGGTCACCCCTTTGCCCAGCGACGCACCAGCAGAATCAGCTGCTTGGAGCAAGCCTCCAGCCGCGCCCACTCCTTTACGTGTACCCGAGCAGAAGCAAAAACAAGCACCCACATGAGTACGGTTGGCACCTAATATTGCAAGTAAACCAAGCCATAGGAAGCCATGGTGAACTTTGAACCGCATCAGAATCTTCCAGCCGATGTGAACATGAACTGGGTATTTCCCTCAGGCCGTGACATCTTTTGGATGCTGCGCTTTTACAGCTCCGGGTCTGATTGGGCGCATGTTTCTTTTGTCAAAAGCAACGGACTCTTGAAAAGTTGGAAGAAGGATTGGCCAATAGGGGCCTCTCGCTTGCATTTCTTTACACATAGGAGTCTGGGGTCGGTTACCAGGACCTCACCAAGATTATGACACATTACAACTTGGGTGACCAGAGGGAAGCTACAAGTTTGGACAAGTTTTGCCAAATCTTGCTAGGAGGTTGGCTTAGCCGCGTTCAAACCGCAGACTGCGCGCCGACTGTCAGGTCCCACTTCTACTTTGCGTCTTGTCCGCAGTTGGGAGGACTGAATTATTTGCCTTTTTGGACGGTATTTAGTTGGAGCTGTTGTTGTTTGTTTTTGTTTCTGGGGGGGGGGGGGCATTTTGTCATAGGTGGTTGTTTCAACATAGGAATCGAACCCCCAAAAAATGGCAGCGGTGTCCTTTTCGCTTCTCTTTCAAACCGACCAAAAAGGGGGGTACCCCCAACAAAAATGACCCCCCCCACCTTGTAAAAGTGGGTCTTGACATGTCCACTTCAACGGAGGCACGCGTATGGGGGACGCAAAAGAGGATTCGTGGCAAGGCCGAGGTGTATGGCTTGAACTCTGTGACAAAGGCATTTCCTTTCCAGTTATCAATGGAAGGTGCCCTGGAAGAACGGAATCCACCTTACTAGCAAAACTAGAACCCCAAAGGGTTAGGGTTAAGGAATTCCACATTTTTCTAGTGGTCCCTATTGACTTTAATCAACCTTGGGCTCGTAAGAACTTGAAACTGGAGGTTTAGCAGAAATAGCGATAACTGCAGGGTGGCTCCGAAGCTCATGCCCAAACAGGTTGCTCAAGGCATGGTGCCTACCAGGCCCCAACAGGTTGCAAAGTGAGTCGCTTGCAACAATCGGGATACCTCGAAATGAGGAGTTTCTGGTTTTCCCAAAACAAGCACAAGGTACAGAGCCTCAACATGTGCAACATCCTTACCTCCAGGGCCTGGGAGCTTTGACCAGCAGATGTAACTGGGTAAAGTCAAGCCTAAGTTCTTATGCGAGATGGTCGTGGTTTCTTGTTTTTCTTGCGTCTGACTAGGTTCCTTCGTGTGGAGCAGCACTCTGGTCGCGGGTCCCTGTATTGTCCCTTGCAAAAATCGGTCGTTTGGCTCATTTAAGGTGAATTTCCCCTGCGGCATGCTTTTTGGGGGAAATATGGGGCTATCTCAAAATATGAGTCCTTGCGGTGTACCTGTTGGTTTCCCGTTAACAGCCAACCCAAAGAAATGCGGCGCATTCCCTTCCAAGCCAACCTAAAACAGATACCTCTCAGGCAAAAAACCAAGTTGGTGACCTGTGGGTTTTCCTACCTAAAACAGATACCTCTCAAAAGAAATAGTATTATCAGGTCTCCTTCCAAGGTGGTTTTCCTTGTGGTCTCCCTTTAAACGCCCGAAGAATTGGAACACCAACCTCGACCAACAGCCGAGACGAGGCCCGGCGTTTGGACTGGACCCATGCGTTGCACCTGCGGCGCCTGCGGCCGGTGCAGCGGGGGCCTCATAGGCGTTCGGTTTGGAGGGCCGAGGCTCAGAGAATCCAGGGGAAAACCAAGGGCAACCAGAGGGGCCAGTGGCAAAGGTAGGAAGCAAAGAGACTGGGGTAGGCTTAGGACACATTTTACGTTTTACCAGTGACTCAAAGTGAAGCAAACAATGAAATATACATTCTATAACTGGGCCTAACTCTAATCGTGGAGATTTTGTGTTTGTTTTTGTTGGTCTTTTGAGGTTGCCACTCCGAGGCTCGCGGGGGCGGGGGGAAAACCAAAAGCAAAGGAGACCACAGGGGAGGTTTTTGTGTAGGTGATCTTTGCCTGAAGGCGAAAAGATAGAAGGCAAAAAGATAGACAGGAACGACAGAGATTTTGCATGTCTCGTTTTGTTGTTTGGGTCTTTTGAGGTTGCCGCTCCGATGTTCAGTGGCGCCAGCGTGAGAAAGAAAGATTGGAATCTGGAGCATATATTTGGACAAACCCGAGCAAATACCTTGGGTGCAATCTGTGTGTGTTGTTTTTTTTGGGGGGGGCCCTTTGGTGGACATCATGTTGATTCCCTGAGTTCCGTTTTGGACTTGATCGTCACTTGCTGGAGTTGGTGCAGGGTGCTCTTTTTTGACTACATAGCTAGACTTAAATCCAGGGGTTCCCCCTTTTGGGGGAAGCCAACCACCCCCAGGTTCAAGTCTACATTGGGAAAGTCGCAAGGTGGAGCCTTGCTTTGGTGGACATCATTTCTCACTCCCTGAGTTCCGAAACGCGGACTTGATCGTCAAATTTTAGGGGTTTGCTTGCCATTTTGGTGGTAAACAAAAAGTGTGGCTACTTGTTTTGGCCCATCCACTCAGGAAGTGAGTCGTTTAGGAGGGAATCCATGTCCGCGACAAGAGCCGCTTTGGAGGTTGAAATTGCCAGGTTTCCTCATTTTGGCGGCTTGTTTGGGAACCGTCTTGTTGGTTACTCAAATCAAACTCCACAATTATACCTCATTCCCTTGAGCCAAGCTGGGCAAACAATCATACATCTCCCCTGTGAGCTTCGAACGCCCGACCCACCAAGCAAGAAGGGAGTTTTCAGGCAGGTTGGTTGACTTGTTGCGTCCGCCTGCACAAAGGACCGAGGAGCACTTTGAGGGACCAAAAAGCGGGGTCCTGTTTCTGCTTGATGCGCAACAAGGGGTAGCCTCGAAAAAGGACACACCGACATCGCCCGACATCGCCCACAGTTTACTCTGACCAAAAGGGGACAACGGTCCTCTGAACAAAACCGTGTCCCCCACGCTTGGAGTTGCAGAAGGGTACCGTCAACAGCTACAGATCCGACTCAAGGAGAGGGGCTGCGGTTTCGTAATTGAATCAAAGGATCCGATCCATATTGAAGGAACACTAACAGGCGGTGTGGGTGAGAGTGGCTGGCAGTCTTTGCGGGAGCAAATAAGCTTTTGGGAGTACCTATTTTACCCACGAACCAACGAAGAAATGTGCCATTTTGGGGGGGAGGATCCGAGCACCCGCCAGTCAGTAGTGGTAGTCTCATGTAGCAGCGGTTTAGCCAACCACTCTGGGTCTAGAGTTCGCTGGGCCAAGTTGGGAGCTCACAACGTAGCACGGAGAAATACGAAGAAGCTCCGCGGCTTTGATTTGGGTTACCCCCCAAGAAACAACGGGAAAGAACAGGACCCGCGAGAGCTCCGCGCGCTTTGGAAAACGTCGAACGTCAACTATGGCAAGAGGTACCTGCACCATCCCACAGCGCTGCTGGACACTCTCATGGTTTGGCAGGCGATTTGCGAGTCCTGCGGGCTAGAAAAGAATCCCCGCTCCTTAAATGTGATTTTGTTTGAGGGGGGGACCCCCGACGTTGGGGGGGGGTCGTTTCCCCCGCCTGATTGCCCAGATTGCCCCCTTCGTTCAACTGGGCACATGATGTTGACTGGTTTGAGGGTTATGGCAGTCAGAAACCGGGGTTGTTTCCCCTTAAGCTGGAACTTGTTGTCTTTGATAGTGGGAAACTCCCTAGAATAGGGATTTGAGCCGATGTTCCAGCTGATATCAGCTGGCATGAACTCCAGTATTATCTGGGGCCTGTGTGACATCATGTTACATTTTGAGGCTGTCAGAATCACAAAGCGCAATTTGTTATTGAGGGCAAAGCTGGATTAGGTTGGTTTACGACCTGGTGTCTGGCGTAGGCTTAAAGAATCCTCAACGCCATTGCTTGTCAGCCTGCTAAACCCGCTGGCGCGCTACGACTCCAGCCTGGCGGTTGTTTCCTGTCAGGATGGACAAAGCTTCTATTTGCTTAATAGCTTAATTAATGTTGTTTTCTCTTGTTGGTTTTAAGGGGAATCTTCCCTACTGGAGATTTTGATATTAACCAGGCTCCCGCCTGCTGCCGCCGACCCTCGGCGCATTAAGGGAAAAGTCACAAGGACCGGTCCTGAAACACGTCCGCAAACCCAGGGACCACTTATAAGATCCTCTACGACCACAAACAAGGATAAACGGGAAAGTCAGAAATATGGCAGCTAGTCCGTTAATTACCGCTTGGGCCGGCTTGCGCCCAAGTCACTTCGAGTTGGCCCGGGAGCGCCCTGAAACTGGCCCTCCCGAAGTTGCCCTGGACCGGTCGCCGGCAGGGACCGGGACAGGCTGGTCCCAGTCTGGCGCAGTGTCCTGAAACACGGGTGCCAGTCCGGAAAGGCGTCTGGAGCGGTTTGAGGTGGCAGGACTCCATCCCGGGACCGGCTTCAGTCCTGAAAGCGGTCCTGGCCCCAGGACCAAACCCCGGTCACCGGTCCCACCGGTTTTGGCTGACTACAAGTAATCTGAAACAGCAGAACCAGGGTCCCAGGACCAGTCCCAGGACCGGTCCCAGGACCGGTCCCAGGACTGGTCCCGGGACCGGTCCCGGGACCGGTCCTAGAAATCCACCCCCAGGGACTATCATTGATTCCAATCACTTCCAGTTGCATCCCACGCCGGTCCCCTCTGCAGGAGGCTGGGACGGGAGGCAGAGGGTCGGCGGATTTTTTTCAAGAAGACTGAAGCAAATCAGGGTAGCTGTTCGCGACCTTTCGCGCCGACTCGGACAGTCCCATCAAGAATGTGCGGCCCCCGCCTGCATGGCCCGTCATGAAACAGCTCAAATCACCGGAAGAAGAGCGAGAACCTGCGGGAACGTGCTTTGTATCTCGCTGTCATGTTTAGATTTGGGGAACACATCCCAAAGGATTTTCTTTCCTCTGGGCCCAGGGCAGAAAAGAGCACCACAGGAATTTGTCACTAAAGAGCGTTGCCCATCTTGACGTGGATTCTGCAAAGCGTCAGGGTAAGAGTCAGCCGTTTCCGGCGGCCGTTGTCAAGAAGTTCCGCGCCATCTACCGCAAGGATGACCCGGACGTAAAGGCGCTGGATCGCTTCTACGAGACTGCCGGGCCGGATGAGAAGCGAGAGTGCTTGCGAATATGCTCGGCAACTGGATGAGGCAATAGACTTTGGGCTGTACCGCAGCTGGCTGTACTCTGGAGTTGCTGCCCAAGCCAAGGGTTTTGCCAAGGCTGTGAGCGGCCGCTGTTCCGATGCGTTGGATGTTAAGCGATTGGCACACTTAGCGGTTGTCCTTACGGTTCCCTTTCAGCCATGGTTCCCATTGGTTGGGGTTTCAGTCCATTGTGAGACGCTGAAGCAATGGCCGGGTGCTTTGGAGCAGCCAAAAACCAACAAAGCAGACAAATACGGGTGCAATCTTGCACGCGCCCTGCTGGCTTTCTCTTCCCAGTTTCCTGTCACCTGATATATCCCTAAATGCTTGGCATAGTAAGGTGTCTCGTGAACCTTCCCGTTATTTCAAGAACCGCTTCAAACCGTCGACTCGGGTACTTCTATTGGGCGGACTGCTTCCCGTGGAGTGATCCAATGTGACACCCCAAAAAAATCAAGGCGATGGTTTTTCTCTCAGGTTCAGAGCTTCCGAGGACTCACTCGGGAAGCTTGCCGAATTGAGCCTCCCAAAGGGGTCTTGGGAGCTTCCATGTTGGCCCGGGCGTGTCTTAAAATGGCGGCACAAACAATGGCTGGGTCGTCCCTTTGGTTTCCCCGGCCCCAGAAAGGGTACCAACTCAAGACAGGCAGACCCAGGCCCATTCTTTCTGGTTTCTTCCTCCGTTCATTGGGCGGTTTTTGCCATCACCCTGTGGGGTTCCGTTGGTTTCCCTGGGTAAGAAGCATGTTTGTTGTTTTCTGTCACAATGTGTGGTCAAACTGTGAACAGGGGCGTTTCAATTTTCGGAAACAGCGTCCACAGCAGGTCACACCCTGAGTCCCTGGACTTTGTACATTTTAAGAAGACAATTTTGCCGGTAAGAAAGAAGGTCAGACATTTGTTGGGCCAATCCACTTGATCGGAAGTAAAAAATGGACCTCAAAACATGGTTTTTTTCCGCAAGTGCGCTCCCTCACACTCACTTTGAAGCTCCCAGAAGGCGCTTGTAAGCGGAGCTATAAGTCTTCCAGAGGGGTCCTGGAGGGTTCCTGGAAGCCCCCATGTTAGTCTGGGGGAGGGTACCGGTTCCAGGATGGCATGGCGGGCACTGCCTGGCTTGCCGGCCACTCCGTGCACGTGGGCGCGGGCTCCACCAGGCGCCGGCGAACGGTATCCATTGGTTCTGCCTACTGTGGATGGACGAAATCCAGAAATCGCACCACTTTGAAACCATTGGAAACCATATTACGTAACGTTTGTTGGTGTTTACAGGGGACTCATTAGAAACCTGGGTTTTGTAGGTGGTGCGAAATGGATTTCGTCCATCCACAGTATGTCATAGCGAGCTCACAGATCCGGGGGTAGAACGAACTCACCATGACAAACAAGTCCTTGGCCTGAAAATCCCTTCATTCAGCTTGTGGAAGTGGAGTAAAGGTTGCAGATTTTTGGGAGTTGAAAAAAGCAAAAACAAAACAACCAACAGGAACACCAACACCAACAGGAAAACTAAGGCCATGCTGGGGGTCGCCTAACAAGAGACACACCCATATATGGAGAGTCTGTTGCTTTTTGGGGATCGTGTCAGGGCAAACTAAGGAGGTCAAACATTTTGGTGGCCCATTGAGACGACGCCATAAGCAAGTTTCAACATTAAGCAAGAACGGCATGCTCGAATGGGGGGAAGCATACCGCCCGCGTTGGGGGTATTAGCTTTTTTGGGGGGACCTCGCAGGCGTGATTACTGCTACTGCCCTCAGTGCATTTGTGCCACTAGCAAAGATCCCGCGGCAAAACTTGCTGGCCACCATGCGAAGATGAGAGTCTTGAAGGACCAGACTGCGCGAGAGTGATCTGAAGGAAAACCAAAAGAAAAGCGAAGCCATGTGGGTCTGTCTTTTTAGCCCCTTTTGTGTGGTGTTAAAGGAAGCCAAAAGCAAGACCACCAGTTTGGAGGGTCCCCTTAAAAATGACACACCCATATCTGGATGTTCATGGAAAATGTGAATTTGTAGGTTGAACCTGTTCCGGAGGAATCCAGGCACAGAACAGTCACTTGCAGGGGTTGGCTTTTTAGCAAGGGTCTTGGTTTGCGACAGAATGATTCTTCTAATTTGCCGATGCATTTGGGTCTGGTTCAATTGGCTTTTAAGAGAAACCAAGAGAGGAAACAGCTTCTTGGAAAGGTCCCTCATTTTGAGACGCGCCATCCCATTTCTTGCATAATATGCCCATTGCTTCAACGTGTTTATGTACAAGGCATTCATGACATGTATACATGATCGGATGCAGGCAGGGCACGTTACGTTTTGCAGATCAAAAGGCCGAAGGGTTGAGGGGTTCAAAAAAAGGGGGGAATGCCGACCATATGCACAGAGTGAGTACATGTATCAATGTATCACATGCACATATGTATAGCAACACGCACGCAGATGAGTACGTCTTGCCTATGCATATGCATACATAATCTATCATGGCTTGACTTCCCTACCCAGAAAGACCTTCAATTCGTCGAAATGGTGTTGGCGAAGATGTTCTTGAATCAGCAGAGTGATGGCACGGCCGTTTGAACATCAAAGATATGTTTGGGTTCCAGTGGGCAAAACTGGAGGTCTGCTTGTTGGAATTAGGGAGTGAAAACGAAGCAGGCACCTCGTTTGATCCAAAACGGTTGGTGGACAGAAGTCCCTATGTCTTTTGATGCACACCAAAGCTGGGCAAGTAGAATTCGATCCCATTTGGGGCATACAGGTCTCTTCCTGTCATTGCTGGTGATTTTAGCCGCCAGGCGCGAGGCCGACGACGCGCGGCTTTGGGCACTCTTCCGGCCACTTGGCTTGCAGCTTGATCCAAAGGCTAAGGAGCCTGCCTTTGCCTTACCTCATGGGGCCTGAGGGGGGAGGGGGGGGAAGAAGGGGAGGCAGCCTATACTGGGTCCCCCAGTAGTGCCCTTTTACATATATTTTTTGGGAGGGTTCCCCTATGAGAATAGCCTACAGAAACAAGGGTACCCTTAATTATTCTAGCCTCTCTACTAAAAAACCTAGCATAGCTCTGATAAGAGCCCGTATACTTACTATGGCTCCCCCTGCAAGCCCTCCCCGCAGACCCTGTGATTCACGGGGCCATTGCAACCCAGAGACTGCCGACATTGGGCTGTGGTTGTTGAAAAGAGGCATCCGGAATGAAACCCCGGTCAAGGGCACAGAGGACTTAAACATGGTTTTTGTTGGACACATTTTACGTTTTTGCTTATTGTGGTTTAGTGGGAAATCCCCACTTAACTGCTAAAATTTAAATTGTTGCTCCCCTTACAACGTCAACCAAGAAAACCTGCGGTCCAATTCCTGGTGGTGGGGCCAAGGGCCTTGGCTTCTGACATCATGTGTTCGACTCGCTTGCTTATGAGGCGGCATGAGACGCGCGTCGATTTTAGAAACCTTCAAGGTCCAAAAACGCGCCTTCCTGACCTGTGTAAAACTTTCAAAACGGTTCAGATCAGGATTGCGGTTTCAATCTTGACGCAAGCAAATGCTGACCAAAAATGAAGATGATGACCAAGCAATCATCTTCAACTGTGTGCCTGAGCGAAATCCCTTGGTTCAAGGTAACGTTTCAGCAAGTTGAAGCGCATGCCCGTGCAGTACCGGGTTGGGGCAACCCAAACTGAATATGGGCTGGACAGCAGGACTACCGCCCCTTGGTTGTGTTTGTTGGCTATTCAGGGATGTGTCAAATTTGTTTTTGGGGGCATGTAGTTTTATCATAGCATGTTTCCATGCCACGGCCAATGCGCCGTTTGGCTCAAGCTTTTCACCTGGCATTCATTGCTCGCCATTTCGTCGGGAAAAGATCACGGCGCACCTTTACACCGGCCTCGTGTTTACGCGGCCGTTGTGCCTGGGGCGGTGTTCTTTGTCCTGGAGGTGGGTCGGGCTATTGTTTGAGGTGCGCTGCTATTGCTTGCTTTGCTCGCTTGGTGCTGCTTGCTGCTGGTTTGCCTGCCTGCTCTGCGCTGTGCTGCGCTTCTGCTTGGTTTCTTCTTGTTACAACGAGGCACCCCTTTTGGTTCGTGTTAGTGCCGGCCGAGGGCAACCGCTTGGCCCTTGGGACCGGGGGGATAAGGTGGTCTCTTCTTGTTGGTGGGTTAGGGCCTGTTTTATCCATCCCGAAATTCTGTTTCAAACCCTTTCGCAGGTTATCAGCCGTAGGATTCGTCCTCGGTTGGCACCGCGAACCCCTTGTTTAACAACCCTGCAGGCATTGTAGGGTAGTGTAAATAGCATGGCGGGAATCACTGAGGACGGACCTCATGTGGTGACCGATGAGTGGGTTCTCGGCCAGGCCGGAATCTTGGACGTTGTGAATGACGACCAAGTGCCCGGACAGCCGATGTTTTCCGGTCCTGACTTTTTGTCGGATCACACTTTTTCAGAAGCAATGCCTTCAGGAAGGTCCAGTGCTACTCGCACTGATGACCTATCGTCTAATGCCTCAAGAGCTAATCGCTCTCAGGGTCATGGGTCTAATCGTCCTGGCCATGATGATTCCGTCTCAGGACGTGATGATGACGAGCCCGGTATTGCACCTGGAGCTCAATCCTCATCTTTCCCGGAGCTGATGAATATTGGTCAGTCCGAAATTCGTGACTCCCGAGGCAGCAGTAGACCTGTGCCAACCAGTAGCATAGCTTTTCAAGTGCTCGGTAATCCCGAACCTGGTACGTCCAGTGGAGTTGCATTTGACGTTCATCTGCCGACCGAATCCGGTGGGCTCGAGTGGAGAGCCTCATGGCCCAACGACGGAAACATTTTTGGTATGGATTTTGCCGCATGGATGCCAGGGCCACCCGCCCCGTCATCTTTCCCGCAATTCCAAAGCCCAAAACGGGCTGCTGGAAGCGATGAATTCATGCTACCTTTGTCGATTGAGAATCTCAATCCTGACGTGGCCAGCCGTAACGTCAGGCCAAGACCGTCGGTAAACCCGACCATGAGGAACATGTCCCCTCCTCCAGGACTTTCAGGATTTGAGAGCCCTAGGGAGCGTAATATCGTAGATAGATTGGATTTGCATCCCAGTCCAACCCCAAGCAAACGATCAAGGTCAAATTCGACTGGATCGCATAGGGCAAGGGGGATGGATCGGGAAACCGCCCACAGGGGTAACCCCAGTGCGCGGGACTCAGGACGTGGTCGATCAGGTGACCCAGCGTCGATCATTGGTAGAGACCCGTTAAACGCGGACACACTCGTTAACGTGCTTGATGGGATCGAAGCATTCCAGGAGGAATTTAATAGGTCAAGTGGCTTAAACGCGCAAGGCGTTCGCCCTACGCCCAACGCGGCTTCCATTTTCGCCCTGGACGACGTGGACGGAGCTAATGTTCCGATAGAATCTGAGTCCATGATGGCATCAAGTTCTAGTCGCAATCATACCATCAGTAATGCGACCGATATTGAGTCGATGTCTGAGTCTAGAGTGTCTAATGCGACCGACTTGAATGACATTGTTATTTCTGACTCGAGACCTGATGTTCCTATGCAAACGGATAGGCCTGTTGTTCCTAAGCTATCCGTGGCCAAAGGCCTGGGCATGGCACAACCCTCTGCGGTTCGTGATGCTAGGAGATCTGCTCCGTATCAGAGTCAGTCTCCTAATCGGAGTGAGTTCCCACGGCCATCAACGGCCGTGCAGGATGATTTCAGAACTCCTCCGAGATCTAATCCAATCATGGTTGATTTATCCACTCCTCGAGATCGCGGATCAGGATTTGGTCCTGCGAGTGAGGAGCAACCCAACGAGGTTGCTGATCTTGTAACAGCCCTTGAAAGAGGGAGAGTGGATTCTTCGGTAAGTGCGATCATCCATCGCCTGGTTGCTAAGGTCGAAGACCTTGGGCGTAGGAATGATAGAAGTGATCAATGCATCAAGCAGCTCTCCACTGAGGTTAACTCGTGGAGGGCCAAATACGAACAGTGCGTCCATGTGAGTAGCACGTGTACGCAGGCTGCGAACGCGGCCATGCAGCTATCGCAAGGGACTAAGGACATCGTGACCGAGCTTGGCCAACGCGTCAAGATCGTTGCCGATCGCATGATAAGCATAGGCGATGCCCTAAATGAGCGAGCCAGCTATGATGATGTTGCTCGCTCCATCACCCAGGTTCAAACTGTTTTCGAATCTCTTTCTGATCGATTAACCGGGCTTATAGCTCGTGTTGATATGATCGAGAGATCTCTAGTGGAGAGCCAATCCAACCATCCTGCGATCGGTGGAGTAAACCTCAAAATCGAGGACCTGTCCACTAGGGTATGTCAGATTGATAGGATGATGCAAGATGTCGAACAACGCTGGACCAATAATAGGGACGGCATAAAGTGGGTTAAAGACCAACTTTATGAGACACAAGCCAACCTTGAGATGAAGTCAAGGGACTGCAAATCCTACACGGACAAGCAAAATACTCATAACATGGCCGTTTCGACTACGCTCAACAGTAAGCTCGAGCAAATGCTCGAGGTGCTGGGTAATACGGCCCAGAGAATTAACTCCCTCGAGTCAAGGCACTCGAACCAGGCCTCAAGTAGTGGATTGAACGATCACACAGGAGGAAGGCGAGCCGCGTCCCGTACTCCGGATAAGCGGCCACCTCCACCTGGCCCTCCTGATGGTGATCCTCCACCACCTCCTCCTCCAGATTGGCAAAGCCCAGGAGGAGGGGGGAAGAAGAGTGCTGCCGGTGGGAACCCTGGCAACCCTGGTAAACCCAGATGTAAATATGTAGGTGATGGATATAATCATCTCATGGCTGAGTTTCACTGCAAGGGATGCAGAGGTGATATTTGTGAGTATTGTTTCTCGTTTAAAGAGAACCTGTGTGAAGAGTGTTCCCGTAACGGACCCCGATGCGGAGTCTGTAGGGAGAGCTCGTTCCTGACAAAGGGAATTGAGTGTCAGTTTTGTAAGACCTACTACTGCACCAGACATTCTGCTGGGCAGGATGACTACAGGAGATTTGGATTTGTCCAGGGTCCCTGTTGTCTTGCGTGCCTTAGGGACGAGACTAGGAGAAGAAGGGATCCCGAAGGTAACCGTGTCAGGAACAGATCGCCTGGAGGCGTACCAGAGACGAACCCGACACGGTCGTACTCGCCGCCTCTGCGGCCACCCGTTGACAGATTCCGTGACACTCCAACTGGGGGTCAACCCAACGCGGCTGACCTTCAGAGTCCTCCGAAGGCTACGCAACCCGTACCCCTGGATAAACGTGAAACCGGATATTATCCAGGATTCGATCCCAACGGTGCAAGGCCGAAGGATCCTTCAGGCCTTGAGCCGCCGACCATGCGTGGCCCCGATCCTCCTGACAAGAAATGTCGGATGTGTGATCGGGATATTCCTGATCCCAGTAAAATTGAGGAATGTAAGATATGCATGAAAAGGGCATGTGAGATTTGTATTCCGAAGGCTACACGCCTTTGTCCTGTGTGTGCATTGTCAATCGGTAGTTCTCAGGTTCCACAGCATCTTTTCGGAACTGGTGGCGGCGGATACAGTAGCCACCATGATCCGAACTGTACAGCTGCGACTAAGTGCATTTCCATAGACCTCCCGCCAGAGCCCGACGCGGCTGGGCTGAGGGTATGGATAGCCAATATGAAGGAAGCTGTTAGCAATGCCTACAGCTATGATGGACTTTACGTCATCAATTGGCTAACTGAAGTCGAGAAGGCAAAGACCTTTGATGAACTGGATGGAGAATGTAAATACCACATCCTTGAAGCCAGGTTCAATGCAGCCATTCGGAAGTGCATCAAGACTGTT